AACAAGTGGGAAAACATTTAAACTACTTTTCTTATGTTATCACAAACTTACCATTGACAGAAATAGTCAGCTCTACTGCCTTTTCTTTTGCATTTAAATCTTTATTACAAGCAATCCTGTGGTTCATAAATAACTTTGTTTTCCTACCTCCACGAGCGCCATCTATTATTGCCTTGTTGATCTAAAAGTGATCTTTTCCTTTAAACCTAGCCAAAAAGCCATATGTGTTAACTGTGAAACACAGTAGACTTTAATAATATGCATTTATGGTGTAATTACTACATTTTCGTGTCAATCCATGTTCATATTTACTGCAAACAATGCTCTGTTACTTTAATTCAGCGCTTGCAGCGCAGCAAACAAACATAGACTCGGTGCGGAAACTATCTCGGCACTGCTGCAGACCGCTCCTGGAACGCACAGCCGGACCACAACCGTGTGCACTAACACTTTAATTAGTTAACATGAGCGCGGAAAAAATACACACCGCATACGCACTGCAAACGGAGTAATGTGAACCTGGCATTATGTGTGTGCGCTGCGAGTGTGCATGAGCGCTCAGTCTCCAGGAGAGCGCGTGAGCGCTGAATGGTTAAACACGGGCAAGAATGAAAAAGAAATGCAATTTATAAACTTTAGTGACTATGTGACACTGCCTCGACTGTGCAAGTGACCATTCCTGTGTCAACTGTGCTGCGTGCAGCTCGCTTATAGACTGACGCGATGTGTTGTGATTTGAAGCCATTTGCATATTTTGAAAGAGAGAGAGCGCTCGCGGTGATTTACTCACGCTGTTTGTGAAATTACGTCTCACACAAGGTTTTGAGTACCGCACCTTCAGCATTATAATTTTCACCCGCTCCGGACAGAGACTGAGACTGTGCCGCTGCATGTCATGCCAAACCTCTCACGGCAGCGTAATCAGCTTGAGATCGGCCTTTTTAGAGATCGCCGATCAATCATCCCAACGTGATTATCGGCCGATAGTGATCGGTAGCCGATCAATCGGAGCACCCCTAATTTTTTAAAGTATTTTCCCCCCCAAGTATTTCAAGTAAGTTTGCTGCATGGTGAAAGAAAAGTATGCAATACGTATTTGTTTACCCACAGGGAAAAATCTACCCAGGGCATCAGTTTAAAAGTAGCCCGATTCCGTGGAAAAAATGCGGACTTTGCAACCCTGCATCCAACACGAGCTTGACTGATCACGGGTCGAGAGTAGGATAGATGACTGACAGACCATGCTGGAGTAATTGCTGCTCTGCAGATCCTGAACTCACTGACAAATATCTGATCTTGTAAGATTAGATGTGCTCCTTTACACAGAGTGCACATGAACGCGAAATCGAAAGTGAAAGTGAACAGCGAGCAGCCGAGCACGCATTCAAAAGCGATTTCAATACCTGCATAGTGATGGAGTGAAAATTATAAACAATATAAGAATGTTTGCGGGAGCGGACACAAAAATCGTGGTGAGCGGAACACACACGTTGCGGGAGCAGGTGGTAATGGTCAGAATTTCAGTAGGAGTGGCATTACGAAACAGTTCCGCGCAGAGCTGTACTCCAGACTATCCGGACAGCACGTCGACATTTTAGCCTACTTTTTTTGTTTTTGTTTTTATAAAAACTAGACACATTGTGCACTGAGGTAGGCCTGCTATTTATTTTTATGTCTGACGAAAAACAGACTCTGCCGGTTCTTTAAGGTGCATTGAAGGATTCAGTGTGTTTTAGTTTTGTCATCTTAATGTTAATTATTTAATTTAAAAATATTTAGTGTAGGCCTATTTATTTTATTCTTTTTAGTTGTTTTTTTATTCTGTTTTTCTCTGTTCTCAGAAGCGCTGCAGGTGCGTGATATCTTGAC